CATTGACTGGTGAGGATACGATGTTACAGAGATAGCTCCGAGCCTATCACCACCCTGACCACCACTGCGACTGACCTGTCTCTGACACCTCCTTCCGCTGTTGCCCAGGTCTGCGCGCCATGTTCGCCGCCCGCTGCGAGGAGTACGTCACCCAGGTGGACGAGCTGCAGCGCCAGGTGGCCAGCAGCGAGGAGGAAAAGAAGACGCTCAACAGCCTGCTCCGCATGGCCATCCAGCAGAAGCTGACGCTCACCCAGAAACTGGAGGATCTGGAACTGGACAGGGAGAGGCGGCCGGCGCGCGCCGGCGGAGGACAGGTCAGTGATGGCCGAGAGAAGTGACGTGTGGGCGACGTCTTTCAGTTGGAGATGAGAGAAAGAGGGGTTTTGGACAGTCTGGGTCACGGGATAGTGGATGAGATAGCGTTAGGGTGGGTAATTACTATGATGAGTAAAAACTTGCGTAAACATGGGCTTATTTATTGCCAACCTTGTGAGTTACCACGCCTTATTTGTTACAACCTTGATTCGCAAATAGTTATGAAGCTCAGTTGCTGCTGGGTAAAATCTGACGATTATGTTCCTCATTTCCGTCCCGCAGGACAACAGCTGGCGTCGTTTCGGCGGCGGCGACCGGGGCCGCTCGCGGGGCGGTCAGTCCCGCGGCGGCGGCCGATTCCCGCAGGCGGGCGGCTACGGGCGGCGGGACCCCTGACCCGCGTGTGCCCAGATGTAGTCCGTCCCCGGCCCCGTGCGCCTTTGCCGGGCTCCGTAGGCCACTCAATGGGCCGGTCTGTGTACGGGGACCCGCAGTTGTTACTGTACAGCGACCCTGAGTAAATCGTCCCAGCACCCTCACAGGGAACAACGATAAGCTGTCAGAGGGCACGCACTGAAAACCTCAGCTGCTCTTGTACAGGGACCGGCAGTCGATATCAATGTTATCGGTTGTTGCTGGACAGGACAGACGGCTAGAGTTGGGGGTTCGTGTACAGTAGCAACTGCGGGTCCCCGTACTTAACCGCGGTAAGTGAGCGCCTACGGGTCAGCGCGGCGCGTTCGAGGGATCAAGTGAATACCAAAGGCAGCTGGGCGCGCGGCGCGGCCGACCGCCTCCGATGCAATACTGGCTGCGTCTCGTGTTGGTGTGTCGGTGCGGCGCACACTGCCGTCTCGTGCAGTCAGTGTCCGTTCTGTGGACGGCCGGCCTGCCTCTGTGGTGGTGTGTGTGTGTCTGTTACGGTCTGACGTCCCCTCGTTGTTGTGTCTGAGCCGGGGAGCGGTCCCCGGTGCTGTCCGCCGCGCCCGGGTCGTGTGTACAAAGTGGATGGCAGTGCGGGCCGTGCCAAACCGTCCAGGCGCTCAGCGGGGCGCCGGGGCGGCCGGGGGCGTCGGCGAGCGCCGCCAATCCCGTGTGTTCGACTGGCAGCGCAGTGTCTGAACGAATGAGCTAACCGCGCCCGCAGCCTCGTATTTATTGCATGCCGGTGACGGCTTGGTTGACGGTGGCTCTAGGCATCTATTGGTTTTTTATGCGCTCGTGGATCGCAGCTCACCACAGCTGTCCCGCAATCAGGCAGCTGGCAATCTGTTTTATATTTATCTTTTAGATGCGCCTCTGTGCTCTGTGTTTACATAATATGAGACAATCATGTCCGACATAAGTTGACAATATAATGTAACTGATATACGTGTAGCATAACAGCGCTTTAATAAAGTATGTCAAAATACTTTATCCGGTATTTTGTTTTGATGCTGTACATTGAAGCGTAGCTAAGCTGATGCCACCACACTCCACAGTGCTGCTTTTAGTGGGATTGTGAAGCATCATCACCGACTATGTCGACCCGAGATGACACTGGCAGCAGCATATGGGAAGTAATTTTCTTGCTGCGAATTCACCCGTGCCTAACAGCCTATATACTTTCTCTGGTGGCCTAGACTAAATCGCGCGTTAACGGAAAATCCCAGAGGAAAACTGTGGCGTTCGGTTGCAGCATAAGCTTGGAAACTCGCAATTTGGGGGACGTACTCTCCATGGACACTCTTCTAATATCGTTGTCATGGGTAACGCTGTTCCACTAAATGCCGATTTACCAAGGTCTATGGGTGTCACCTACTTTGTCCGCTCTAACTTCGCCTGAACTGTACAACGGCAGGGGTAACTATTAAAATTCAGGAATTATTTTCTTTTTTAAAATAAATTTTGTCTGAACCTTTTGAATGGAAGGATTTTCAAGGACAGAGCCCCCGCTAAGCGAAGCTTGTTGCGTTGACCCTGCCGGCTGCCCTCCACCCTCCGATCGCGCAATTCCGGTTCTATGGCATAATTTGGAGTACAAAGTAACGTGCGCACATAGCCGCGCACGGCAGGTCCCCTCACATTGAATGTCAAGCGCCCGTCGCGCTTCGAACCCGGACTGTTATAACCAGGAACGCGCGCTGTCACCACGCGGAGCCCAACGCTCTACCGACTGAGCTACGGGACCGGGCTAATTGTTTGTGGCTAATGCATATTTTAGTTTCGCTCTAGATAGCTCATCCTTGGATTTAAGCAGGTATCAGATATTTTCTATTCATGTCAGAATAAACAATAGCGTCGCTTGTCATTAGTGCCTGGAGCTACGAATATTGAGTAGTAAAGTAATTTTGCAAACTATACTGCTTCGCCATGCTCCGCGCACTAGGACTAGTTTCTTTCTCTCACCATAGGTGTCGCCAGCCAGGAGCGCCTGTGGCTATACTGTGCCGCCATACCCGCCCGGCGCCCCAGACTAGTTAGAATCTCCTACCATAGGTGTCGCTAGTAGTACGCGCCTGTGGCTATACTGTCCCGCCACACCCGCCCCAGGCTAGTTAGAATCTCCTCCCATAGGTGTCGCTAGTAGTACGCGCCTGTGGCTATACTGTGCCGGCGGTAACCGGACAAAAGATCGTAAAGCAGAAGATCGTATGGCAGAAGATCGTAGGCAGTTGATCGTATGCAAAATATCGTAATGGATAAGGATCGTACGACATAATGCTCGTATGGACAAAAGATCGTATTCGCTAAAGATCGTCAAGAAAAATGATCGTATGCCAAAAAGTCGTAATGGATAAAGATCGTACGACATAATGATCGTATGGACAAAAGATCGTATTCGCTAAAGATCGTCAAGGAAAATGATCGTATGCCAAAAAGTCGTAATGGATAAAGATCGTACGACATAATGCTCGTATGGACAGAAGATCGTATTCGCTAAAGATCATCAAGGAAAATGATCGTACGCCAATGATCGTATGAGATAAAGATCGTACAGTCAAAATATGGTATTCACATGGTGCAGCCCAACTCCAGCGCATACAAAGCTTATCAATTTCTGTGTTCGCGTAGTAAGTGGCCGTCGTAAGCTCGACCATACATTGATGTTATTTCAGAGCTTAGATGGCTCAATGACACCTAAAAGCAACGCGTTGTATATGTGCCGAATAAATGAATGTATGTGCTGCCGTTTTCATGTACCTATTTGAAGTGAATACAACTAAACCCATGTTCCCCCCCCCCACCCCCCACCGCCTGGAAGGTTAAAATGTTGCTTAAACGGCTGAAGTAAACGGCGTTAAAAATACTTTTTCCTTCGCACTGTTACGTTTTCATATTGAATCGTCATCGCTTTACGAGTCATCAACAGATGTTTATCGCGTTATCACTATCGAAGTCGCAATTCTCCTAGTTATAGGATCCTAGTTTCAATCCAATCCTAGTTATAGGAGTCATTGTTATCGAAGGCCGGTTAAAGATGTCAATTGTCCATCATTGGTTCGAAATCGCCCCAGTAATTACCGAGTTACTGAAATGGGAACACATTTGGCACCTCTTCTTTATGTATTTTGCACGTGCATTGGGGGTCACTCACATAGATCAAGGGTATCCGACCTTTGGTAGAAGGGATGCAGCTACCCTACAAAAATTACCGCAAGACAAACGCTCAAGCCGCTGCTGAGATATGGGCCTCTCAAAATCATTACTTTTGCAGAACACCCTTGACTTCTCACGTGGCACGCGCCACGACGGCCACTGAGATGTATCAAAAGTAGTCGATTACGTGGAAGAAGGGATGGGGCTACCCAACAAAAAAGACCGCAGGCCAATCGGTTCAGCGGCTGCTGAGATGAGATATAAGCCTCTCAAAAGCGTTACAGGCCGGGCCGGGCCGGGCCGCTCATACTGAGATTTTTCCCGTTATATTCAAAAAACTTTGCGTCGCTCGCTGCGCTCGCTCGCTCGTAACAATACTATTCTATACGATTATTTACTTTACGAACGTAACGTTACGATCTTTTGTCGAACGATCTTTTACAACATACGGTCTTTATCTTACGATCATTTTCCTACGATCTTTTTTGTACGATCCATTGCTTTACGATCTTTTGCTTACGATCTTTGGTCGTACGATCTTTTGCGACATACGATATTTATCTTACGATCATTTTCCTACGATCTTTTTCATACGATCAATTGCTTTACGATCTTTTGCTTACGATCTTTTTGTCGTACGATCTTTCACAACATACGATCTTTATCTTACGATCATTTTCGTACGATCTTTTGCATACGAGCAATTGCTTTACGATCTTTTACAACATACGATCTTTATCTTACGATCATTTTCGTACGATCTTTTTCCATACGATCTTTTGTCTTACGATCTTTTGTCACGTAATCGTGCCGGCACACCAGCCCCAGGCTAGTTTCAATCTCCTACTATAGGTGTCGCTACGGTAAGCGCCTGTTGCTATACTGCGCCGCCACACCCGCCCCGGACTAGTCAACCCCAGTATACCTATATGTCGTAAGCAAGGAACGCCTGTGGCTATGTTGCGCCGCCATGCTCGGCCCCGGTGTCTATAATGTACAGATGACTTGACGACAATAGCAAACAATGATTTCCCATCCCCATCGAACATGACACGAAACTCAGAGCTGTGACTTACCTTGAACTTCGCCGTTACAAACACATCCCTCATCGAAAGCATTTATTGACAATACACGTCATATTCTCACCAGCGTCCACGGAATGATTTTCAACCTCAGCAATCCAAAAATATATTATCAATCACCCATTACAGTTAGCTCGGCGACAATCATCGCTCTCAATCTCTCTCAATTCTCTCCGGTAAAGCTGCACAATGCGACTCATCGCAAACCTGCATAAAATGTTAAAACACCGCACATCTGGTAGACAAGGCCCAGGAACACCGGCTCTCGGCTGGCTCTCTCGGGGAGCCATCTCCCTTACAAGAGTCGCCTATCGAGTGAGTTACAGCGCCGGTCAGTTGAGAAGCACCACAGTCCTCCTCTCGGGTGATCAGTCCCTGTATTATGCCAGGCGCGGACTAGTCCTGCATCCCACCGGCGCTAGCCACAGGCGGCGGTTAGCTCAGCCAGGCTCGGCCAGCGCGCGGCCGATATGTTAGAGCGGCTCCACAGGTCGTGCGTATTGGCCCCAGTGTATCCCGCGACCCGCCATCATATTTAATAGACACGGCATCAACCATTCGCCCGATCACTAAAAACCCAGTAAAGCAGGGTAGATAAAATAACTAGAAGGGCTGGCACCCGCTCTGGTGGCGGCGGGTCACGCGCCAGGTCATCCCTAGGTCATCTCAAGGTCAGCCCAAAGTCGGCGGCCGGGGGACGAGCGACGTCCGTCGGTCGGTCGGACGGCAGGGCGGGCAGGCGCCGACGCCGCCGGCGCTGCCCGCTAGTAGTCGTAAAATTCGCTGCAAACGGCAACATGCGAACGGTGAGCCAGGCAGGCGACGGGCCGCCGCGCGGCGCGGTGGCGGCTAGCCCTGTTGGAGAGCCGCGGCTAGCCTTGTTGGGCGGCTGAGGCTAGCCCCCCCCCATGTCGTATAGCCTCACTAGCTCGCTTGTCAGCCAGCCACTCGACAAATTAAAGAGCCAAACAGCTAGCCTCGTAGCTCGACGAGCGCATTGACTAGCGATAGGCATTAAAGGCTGGTCACGATGCAAACGATAGATGAAGATTGGGCTGGACATTTGATCTAGCATTGGACAATTAGCGAGCATTTCAAACTACAATACGTTTCGCTTCAAACACTGGCATACCACGCCGCATTTCTCGATCAGAGTCCGTTGCATGCCATCATCTTCAGTGCGCATGCGTCATGCTGGCGCGACTCGTGTTGTCTGGGAGCGCTGCAAGGCGGTCTGTTCATTGGCCGAATGTCTGAAGTTAAGCATGCAGCAGTTGAGGGCAGGAGCGGCGATACGTGCACAGCCGTATCGCTACAGAGCGTCGTCCTCTATACGGAAAAGCGTTCTGGAAAAATAGTGCAAGGTCATGGCGAGTTAGCTCCGTCAAAGCGCTGCCCTGTTAGATGTGAAATATATGCAAGCGCATGCTTCTGATCACAGGCTGGGTCAGTGCCTTGTTGGAAAGAGCCCAAGACTCCAATCTAAAAAGAGCATCCACCTGAAGAGAAACTCGAAAATAGAAACTACATGCAGAAGAAATGCAGAAAATAGGTCCGTGGTTTCAAAGGTTCGCGCCTAAATCAGACATAAGGGATAGTCGCCCGCAGCCGTGGTCACTTTATCGAAGCACAGATCCGTCCGCACTGGCCGCGCAGCCCGACACCATGTCACTTGACAGAGAGGAGGTGCAGCGACCCGCGCCGGCCGCCGGTCCAGCTTCCGAACGCCGCCGACAGATGGCAGTGCGGTTACCTGTTGCCATGGAGACGGCGCGTGTTGGCCTGCCTCTGCCGGGCCAGAAATGACGACTGGCCGCCGCTGATGTTGGAGAGCCGCTGTTCCACGGCCTGGCGGTGCATCTGAGAGCCCTGCCAGATGGAAATATAGACACGTGGGGCGGTTGGTCAAACGGGTTCGAACTCTGATCGAAAAAGTAATGTTAGTCGCACGTATTACAAGCATTCACATATTGCCATCAAGGCACCGTCCCGTGCTTCCATCCTCAGGATACTGAAATCCTTCCCCTCCACGCCGCAACCCCACTCCGGGCTGGACAGTCAACTTTATCTCATGCGGGCTGCTCCCTTGAAGCGGCACCGCTGCTCCCGAGGGAGCACACCCGTAGCCGGGTGCAGTGAGTACCTTGGGGCTGGTTGGCCTGTTCCTCGGGACGGGCTCAGCCCCGGTGACTCTCCAGGGTGCCTGCCCAGACCAAAGTCTCCCCCTAATTCCTATCACCCTCCCGTCTCTGAAATGGTCTCATTGGACCGAGAGGGCCTAACCCAACAAAGCAAACAAGCCATCAGAAGTGTAAATACAGATGGAGCCAAAACCGACCAAATACAAACACTGAGCGCAGAAGCATCAAACCATTCGTTTCAGTCTCACATTAAAATATTAAAATCAACGAAAAACTCGTTGATGATCCGCTACGGATCGTGGCGCTCCTTCCGAAGGCCGCTGAGACGGTCACTCACGTAATTGTAAAAGGCAGTGGCTATGAGGCGCTCCTCGGCCTCTCGAATGGACTTGGTCTTTTCATTCTCCTTTTCCATCACCTCGAGCTGCCTCTCTTTCTCCGCGAGCTGTGAATGAGAGAGGGGACGGGTGAGTGTCAGCGCTGCTTAGGTACGGAGAATGGCGGTATAATGTCACGAATGTACATTGTTACATTTGTACAATGTAAAATGTCCTATGTCACGAAGGATGGCGGTACAACGAAAGACTGTCTGAGGATGAGAGGCAGGAAATGATCGAGAGTCAAGGACCAACATCCACCGATTGTTTCTAGACAACTAGGAGTAAATATGTAATACTAAACATCCGCCATGATACTTAAGTTCATGTTTTCTGGTCTTTTTATACTATTTCGCGTGACACTATAGTTATACTACATTTCAACGAAGTATGAGTACTGTTGATAGCCACATCTAAAATGCAGTGCAGCCAAACACTAGTCTGCCAGTGACGACTCATTTCACTTTCAACTTTCCAGAACTGGTGGGAGGAACGTAAGGGCGGTCCGAGCAAATCGGTCCAGTAAATGAGGCCGAGAGATCGGTAGTTGATCAGATTGAATAGAACAAAACGGAAGGAGCCTGCAGCGCTGTCTCCATTAACTCAACGCGGCAGCCAAAGCTTCCCTTTCCACTCAGTGGCACTCGCTACTTGATCAGGTGATAGCAGCAACTGGTCCTGATAAGATCGTATCACCAGATCGCAGTCTGGTTTTTTTAGGAGTGTCGAAAGTTATTGCACTACGATACATTGATAAACAGGAAAACAAATCTGCACACGCCGCATGACTGAAAAATACAGACGGTAGGTAAGAAAAATTATGAAAATTAGCACAGATTAACATAACAAACGGACATTTTTTAAAGAAGGCCTGTCAACACCAACTTATGAATGCCACAGTGGTATCAGATCTGTGATTTCAGTCATGCATATGCTAGCTCACATTAAAATACCTCGAAAAGAATGTCCATCGGCTTAGTAACGCTGACTCTCAGCCATCATTTTCAGCAAATACATCCGGTTTTCAACAATCAAACCACAAACAACGGCGAATCAGTAAAATGATCAGCCCAAAAACTGCCCGGTTTTGTTCTGCACCCGACCGCTGAATATGGCAGTTAGACCAGGCACAGCCGGGACATCTGCTGGCTCGCACGAAATGCTTAAATAAACAGCTGAAGGCCACAGCCTGCCGTTGAGGCACGAAACAATTTACCAACCGGCTACCAGATTAATTGGATGAACGATCAACGAGCAGAGAGGAAATTTTAGACAGCGATGTGTGGTAAGACTGGCAAAGAAGTGATTAAACATGGCCAATGGCCATTGGCCAACTAAGATAATAGTCAACTCCTAGATGACAGATCCATAGTAGCTCAAATACGATCGAGGACCTCAGAACCTTCCTAGTTTACCGATATTTTGTGCCTGCCTGCTCACCTGGTGTTTGAGGACGGATACGTCGGGCGACCCCGCCTTGGTGTCCAGGGAGCGGATGACCGCCTTGGCCTTCTCCAGGTACTTTTTGTACCGCTCCTCCATGTCGGCCATTTCTCCGTCTCGTCTGGAGAGCTGCTCCTGGAGCTCCTGAGTGCGGTTCGCTGGAGACGGGAGCCGAGAAGTGGATGTCATCCTTTGGCACAGGAAGGGACGCTACAACACTCACATAGGTAGCAGCCAAACACGGACACAGAGACGATGGGTGACAACATACGACAAAAAAATGTTAGTCATACACTTGGCACAGCCATCACTCGTCTCCATCCACCCACAGAACGACACTTACCTCGCTACGGCCTCACCTGTTGTTGGGCGCAATAGCGGCGGCTGGCGCAGCTTCTTCAAGCACCTAGCTACAACAGACACCGTAACATACAACTGTAACGACGGATGGCTACCACCTACGGCCGACAAAGGACCATAAGCTACCCCACAAACGTCATCTCCCGCCATTACCTTGCTCGGCCAGCCGTATCTCCATCTCGCCGATCTGCATGGTCTTGTTCTGCAGCTCCTGTTCCAGCGAGTAGAGTCGGCTGCCGGAGGCCGGTGCCGCCGTCTGCTCGGGCGTCCGCTCCTCCAGCTGCGACTGCAGCTCCAGGATCCGCTGGTTCAAACTCCTGCGCCGCCAGCCCAGACAGAACACGTTACGGTACGTGTAGTGGTGAAACAACAAGCGGCGGCGGCGCCGGCCGAGTGAACTCCGACCGACGCCGAACGCGCCGCGCCGGACAACCAGAGACGGACGGCGGTGCATCACGTGATCGGCGACACCGCCAGCCGGGCGCCATGGCCGGCGGTGCCCCAGGTCACGTGATTCACACGCCGCGCCGGCCCCGACCGACCAGCCGATCACACAGTGCACACACGACATTCGCGTAAACACTCCCCCGCGCTGAGAGCTCTCGGAAGGACTGGGAGGCACAGGAAGGTTCACAAGGGACGGTACGGGGTGGCAGGATCCAGCCCGAGATAACTGAAACAGATACTCACATGGTGCACAAAGAAGAAATCGCCGGGTCGCTGACAACGCCGGAACAGGCATAGTGTACGTAAGTAGCAAGCGCAGCAAAGCAAGGAGACTAGTTAGAAAGGTTAGAGTGTAAGGAGACTTGATATACAGAGTTCGAATAAGCAAGAGGGTTAAGAGAGCATGTTTATGTACAGTTCCAGCTAGAAGATACGATACGTCTGATTAGAAGAGTCATACTAGAATGAGGACCAGTCCGCCACCTGTGTTGGTTACCTCACCGTAACCCACACACTGGGGACACTGACAGCCGAGCGGCCCCAGCAGTGGCCGGGTCTGGTTAGTAGCTGCCCTAGTAGCCGTCCGTCCGTCCGTCCGTCCGTCTGTCGTCTGGGAGAGTCGGAGTAGTCAGCTCGGTCCGCGGGTCACCAGGTCAGGTCAGGTCGGGTCATGCCCAGCGGCGCTGGAGACACAGCCAAGCAGGCGAGCCCGTCCGCCCTCCCGAAGCGGCGGTGTTGTGTGCCGGTCTGTCGCCCTGTGAGCGGGCGCCGCCGGTGGGTGGCCGCGCCGTGCGGACCGACTCCCTCTCCAGAGGCTCTCCAAACACGCTCGGTCGACTCTGCTCGGAGCGCAGTGTATTCGGCCTCGTCGGGGCGGCGGCAGCGGCGGCGGGGGCGGGGCGGCTGTCTGGCAGGCGGCGACGGAGAGCTGTCCTGTCTGGGCTCTCCTGTGACGGGGTCTAGCATTCTCTCCTGTGATGGGGTTTACCGTTCTCTCTCGCCGTCTTTGACAGCGTACTGGGCCAGATAAAATGACAGGGAGCGAGCGACAGTGATGAGTGAGCGATCACCGTGTGTCGAAGTCAGGGCGTCCGTTGTCATGGTGATGAGTAACGTCCACCGTTGTCATGACAACGGGTAGTATGCGCTGTGGTTCATATAGAAACTCACGAGAATACTATAAGATGATCAAATGAAAAGATGGGCCAACGATCGACAACTTAACCTTGACTAGACAGTCACGACGAGATCGCTCACACACGCACTCACACACCCATTCAGATAGTACTTGCTGCTAAAGAGGGATTCTAGATAGAACCAGAACTCAAGAGAAAATTTGGCATCAGTTTTTCGTGGTCAAGAAAAAACGAAACAATGGAAAATACTTCACGAGAAAAATTTTGGATAGTGGAAAGAAGAGTCACCATGTCCAGACAGGAAGCCCTCCGTCCCCCTCATCAGAACAGACAAGCCCTCAAGACACACACACTCACTACTCATTTACTAGGCAGTGAAAAAACAATGACAGGTCAAAGCAAGGTCGGCGCCATTCACGCCACCCGATGCAAAAGTAAATACCACTACAAACTACTAAAATATCGAACTCTACGCAAATACCAGTTGCACGCTCAGAATCTTAAAGCGAAGACGCATGCTACAACAGCGAACAGATGCAACGAGTTGCAACATAAGAAAACAAACGCAAAGACACATCAAAATGCCCTCCCATTCGCAAAAGAGACAGACACTGACATGGCTACCAGTTACCACACAGTGCAGACTTTCATCACAATGACTACGAAAGCATGCGGTGCGCACGACATAGCGAGCTGGACGGCGGTACGACAAAGCTCAGCAGGATCCTCCCCTCCCCGTCCCCGGCCCGCCCGCTCCACACACAGCGCTCGCTCTGAAAGACAGCCAGACGCTATCAGTGACACTCGGCTCCGTCCGCGGACCCCGTGTAGCGCTCTCGCGACCCTGCTCGCACGTGTGTTCGCACCACGGAGGTGCGCGCTCGCGTGTGCTCGCACGGGGCGAGCTCACGGAGCGCACATGGCGAACGTGGCGCCCAGAACGCCCACCGTGTCCAGAAGCCGACTGCGCCGGTTCTTCGACTTTGAGCGCGAGCGTGAGCGCCGCGGCCGGCGGAAACTGCGCGAGCGCCACCGCACGATGGCCGGCTCGTCGGCGCGCCGCACCGAGCTGTCATCGTCCTCCGTCGCCGACGGCGGGGTGGGCTCGCGCGGCGGCGACCGCTCTGCCAGCGGACCGAGCCGCGCGGCCGGGGAGAACGGTCGGAACACCTCCGGGTGAAACTCCTCGGCTGAGGCGAGCGAGGGCGTGGCGCGGCTGTCCACGGCCGAGTCCTTACTGGGCGTGGTCAGCGTCAGGTACAGCGGCTCGTCGTCCAGGAGCGACTCTGTGCCGTCGGAGCCGGCGCCCACCGAGCTCCCGCCGTCGTACCGGCCGATGAACGACAGCCGCCTCTCCAGGTAGCCGTCACTGCGCTCCGTGATACCGGTCATGGTGGTGGTTCCCGAGGCGCACTCCACGTCCAGCCGGCGCGGATCGAGCGTTGTGCGCCGAGAGGAGCACCCACAGCCCGAGTCAAGGGAGTCCTCCTTGCGCGCGGGCGCCTTGAGCGAGCGTTGCCTCTGCGCGCCTGGCCATCGCTCCTGCTTGTACTTGATGCTGCCCTGTCGTGTGAAACGCTGCGGACCACGCGAAGAGGCCACGCTTACCGCGTCATCACACGACACGAGACTGACAGTGTCGTCAGAGGTGCGCCCCGGAGGCGGGGGTGGCGGGCCGGTCGGCAGCAGCAGCTCAGTGGTCGAGGTCGCCATGTCCTGCAGCTTGCGGATGTACTCCTCAGTGTAGGCGGCTGAAGGTGACCTCTGCACCTTGCCGTGCTCACAGCGCGACTCCCTACCATAACCGTTCACCTCCGGAGTTCTGCGGTGGCTGTAGCCGTTCTCTCGGCTGTGGCCGTTCTCACGGCCGTACCCGTTCTCTCGGCCGTAGCCGTTCTCTCGGCTGTAGCCGTTCTCGTGGGCGTGCTCGTGGCCGTTCTCGTGTGCGCCGTACCCGAAGGTGAAGCTGTGGCCGCAGCTGCCGGGCGAGTGCCGCGCGCCGGCCGGCTCCGTCGGGATGGCCCCGCAGATGATGGGTGAGTGGCGGCGCGGAGTGCCCGCTGACGACACCAGCTGGTCGACGTACTCCCTCAGCAGCGCGTTCGGGCTGAGCCGAATACCACTGTCGGCCGGGCTGGCGCGCGCCGGCTCCGGCGACGTGCACAGCTTAATCTCGTGAATGTGTCGGATGGTGACCTGGTCAGGGGCGGCGGGCAGTGGCGGAGGCGGTGGTGGCGGCGGGGCGGCGGCCGGGGGTGGCGGCGCCGGCCGCGGCCGCCGCGCCATCAGCTGCGTGTCGGACGCCCACCTGTTCTCAGCCTGGAGCGCCGTCTCTCGGCCGCGCAGGTCGTCCAGCATGGCGCGGTAGGCGCCCTCCTGGTCGCCGCCGGCCACCTGCGAGCGCAGCTGCCGGTTCTCGTGCTGCAGCCGCAGCAGCTTCTCTCTGAGGGTGGAGAGGGAGGGGAGGGAGGGGGCTGTGACGAGCGGAACATACCGCGGAGGGAGATGCACGAGGGAAGCAGTCAATACCGACACGATATAGCCAGTCATCACGATCGATACCAAAGTCGCCTCTGTCATTAAATAAGCTAATTAAGCGAACCACTGCAAAGGAATTTGCCGGAAACCTCCCATGACGTAAGGCGACAGCTGACAACCCGTAACGGACAGAAAACACCCATTCAATAGAAACCCTTTATAACGAACTTTAAAAAATCGCCTGCAAAACGTGTTTTTGCTTAGTGGTCAAGGCAGCAGCGGAAATACCACCAGATCAGCGTGAAGATATTGGAGATAGGCCGGTCACGACCCGACCACACTCTGCTCAGTCGGATATGACGAGGGCGGCAAACGATGAAACCACACTGGCCATGAGGTAAAAGCCGTAAATGAATTGCACAACTCAGGCCGATACAATCAACACAACTCTACAGATAACACACGACACCTTGCAGACGAGCATACTAACGTGCAAGCACAACACCCCGCATTCGACCATTTCGATCCCACTCAGCAAGAGTTAATTTCAGGGTCAGCATGGGACATCCTACACGGCTGCATGAGTAAGCACTTATCAATGAACCATTTCACAGCTGAAGATGACAACCATTTTTCTCAGATCTGAGTGTCCAAACAGTGTGTCGCACTGGCCACCATCAATAACAGCAGCGCCTCTCAAGTATCGTGTGGTGACGGCCCAATATAAGTCAACATTCAACGGTTCAGAAGGACGACATCTCAGCATTCCTCAGTGATCATCAGATGAGACTCGCCCTTTGTTGAGACGACTAATGGCTGATGGGGCTGATTTACATAACAAAAAGCGGCTCTGTCCAGTCACGCCGCATCGCCACGTCATGTGGTTCTAACAGGGCGCCGGTGCGGACTCAGAAAGGAACAAAAACACTGCCAGATTACCTGGGCTATTTCACAGACATACAGCTTAATTGAAAGGTGTATGCAAACGGCCAAAAATAGCACAACCGGATGAAATGCTAAAAAAGTAGGCTACCGTAAGAGGAAACAGTGTCTTACTAAAGCGATCTAGACTATTCACGTGGCGGTATTGCAGCAGCAAAGTGAGACTACTTTATCAGCGCGATCACGAGATAACATAAATGTTTTACGAGCTAGGCGTAGATTCAAATCAACTAAAACACAAAAACGAATGATGGTACTGATGACAGGGCTGTCTACATGTCAATAAGACGGACCAAACCTGAGTTGCACATGACAGACATCTCCGTGTTCAGATAAACCTACCTACATGACGCCAGCAGACGGTATCACCGATCGGACATTGCACTGAATACCTATCAATGATAAAAAATGAACACTCCTGCTGGGCCCTTTGGGACTGGTTTTGCGACAAGTTAACCATTAGTTTTCCCGTTCATTGAACCTACACAACGTTCCTCACGCGCGACCCATACTGAGAAAGCTCACACGCAAAAGACCGGTAACATGCTCCAAATGTGTCAGGCAAGACGTGTTCCCGATCAATTGAGACAAAACTGTGGCTAAAAATGTTTTGGCATTGCCTTAAAGGGTCGATCCTTATTCAGGAGCGTTGGTAACATGCGTCTGTTGGCGGTATGAAATTCACGTCGTACTGCGCTGAGCCAGTGAACGTCAGGACCTATCTATTCGCCACAAAAGAGCCGACGTATGCACCGCCAGGATATTTTGGCTGTCATGTAACTGAATAGAAAAAAATTGGCTACATCCCACTTGACTCACTTGACGTCTGTGGGCGTGGGGTCGAGCTGCGGCTCGGAGGTGCCTCCGGCGCCGTCCACGGGCCGACTGCCGAGCGGCGAGCCCACCACGCCCGTCTGCAGCTGCGCCAGCTTCAGCTCGTCGTTGGCCTCACGCAGCTTGTCGCGCTCCTCAGTCAAACGCTGTGGGGGGGGGGGGGGGGGGGCAGAGGTCAGGTCACAGGTCATATGTCAAGTCACCTGTTATCGTCATTTGGCTAGGTATGCCAGGAGCTAGAAATAATGCATCTAACTAGAGGGCACACAAGGCATGACACCATATTTTGGCAAGTGAAAATGATTCTGAAAGGAAAGTAAATCAAACTATATTACGATACATAGTAAGAGGTGTATGTACGGCCAACCCTGAAGGGGAAAATCCTTAAATTAGGTACTGTCGCACACGCTGATACCTGAAGGTTCGTAAAACTTCTCCGAAGTTTATTTCTCACGCGCGACAACTTGCATAACACATGGAAGACAAGGAAACTCGGAAGCTTGCGGGACTCTCAAACTAGCACCTGAACTTTTAATTGCGGCACTGCCCTACTTTGCAGCTGCCGTCTTGAAAGTTCAAATCAATGACTCATACCAGATAAGCTCACTGCGATCACCATTCCTGTCTGCCTGAAAGTACCGTTTGAGCTATGGTAAATATTTTCAACCACATGAATCAATGCATACAAAACCTTCTGTCCAAATACGTTTCACTCTGAACATCATCGGCCGCGCAGCTGCCGTCAAAGTCATCACAGCCGACAGCATGTCTGTCAAACGGATCGAACCCGGCCTAAAAACCTTCAACGAGGCCACAGAAACTTGACAGAAACCGTGGGAGGATCCGTCTGTGACCGGCCTAACCAAAATAAAAGCAAAAAAAAAAAAAACGACCCGAATGGATGGAGTAAAACGATGAGAAATATTGCAGATCTCAACTGTGGCCGTAATAAGATCGGCAGGCGTTTCACTCTGTGACTTTTCAACCAGCAATAAAATTTAAACAAAGCATTCGGTTATTCAATCCCCATCGATTTGGTCATTCAAAGGCGTTGTGAGGTGGGAACTTATGCGTGTGCACATTGAGTTACGTGTGCCTAATGCAATTCATTGTTCTGCCGTGAGATTTTATGCCGCTGCACATACGGTCAGCCGTGGATGAATGGGACACAGTGCAATGCAAATATGTCGTGAACCGCTGCACGGTGCAGAGACTGTCAACTTCCCGGTATTTTGTCGTCGGTAACTGGCTACAAATTGTGCTAACGAACTCATTCAATTTGTACGAGCAGTTAGGTCACGTTTTGAGAGAAACCTTTCGGAAGGGCCAGCCCGTGATATTTCAACAGGGCTGCAAAGAGCACTATCTTTCCCCCGCCACATCTTGAACAGATTGGGGTAGCACTATTAAGGTCTATAGATCTCGGCTCCAGCCATTTCCAACGCACCCCTTCTACGTGATTCGTCTCCCTGCTATCTTCCCGTCACCAATAACTCTCGTACACGCGTCTGTCTCTCCGACTCCACTCCTACCTCCGTCACTCCGAGAGACAAATTGACTGCTCAGCACCTGTCTACAACTCTGTCTAACCCACAAACCACCCGGTGATAACGGGGTTGTGAACCTACACCCACGCGTGACCGACGCTCACGCCATACACTAATCCACACGCAACGCACGCCGATCAGCACACGCGTTCGTCGCTCTCCACCCACACCGCGCAGAGAGGGTGCGATATCTGATCTACCCAGACCGAGTGATCGACAGTACGGTCGATCGGCCTTTTCGAGAAGCGATAGGGGTGTCTCGTATCGACTTCGGCCCCGAAATGCAGCTTTGTTCCTGCATACCAGGCGCGAACGGTTGATATGCAGAGAAAACCAGCAGCAGTGTGACTAAATGCGCATGTAAAGGGGGTTCGATTTCTAGAGCAAAGTGCAGCTGCAATGAACATATCGCACTATACTTAGAAGCGCCCCGGTAGCCAACGCTTAAACCCACCAAAACACCGCCCCCAGACCGCTATGGTGGCTCACCCCAGCCGATCACGCCCTGCGCGACAGAGTACGGACAGCCCGGAGTCCTCCCGGCCCTCTGAGATAGTAGCACTGATATGCCGTCGGCACAGAGCCCGCTACGAGCGACACGTGCAGCGGGGCACACGCCGGTCGGAGGGGTGCTGACGGGATATCGGAGCAGCGATCCAGGTCAGGCGGTTCGGTGTCCTCGACGGGAGGCAGGCTGTGGCGGTTGGCAGGGTAACTGACAGGGAGGGGAAGATACAAAGGTCGCGGAGTAGGCAAGAGCCAGGACGGAAAGGTGGAATGGAAAGAAGACGGAACGCCAGAGGATTTACGAGCGACGTCCGAGTGGATTTCTAAGCAAAAGATCCATCCCCACTTTGAGCATATAAATCGCTACCAATCGGGATAAATATCCGTGCCGTATCGAACGAGCCGTGGCAGTGGCGGATCCAGGGGGGGGGGGGCAAAATGGGCATTTGCCCCCCCAAACGGCATGATTTTAACATTACGCCTATGGACGATGCATGGAAAGAATCGATAAATTTTTATGGTTTGCCCCCCAAAAAAACTCTGAGCTGGATCCGCCTCTGAGCCGTGGGAAACGTTCCGCTAATGTCCTACTGCCGTGACGCCATTCCAATAATTCAGCCTTACTGGGAGATTACCAGACGGTGCCGCATGACATAAAAATATCACATGACGTCACCATCCCTGATGACATCAGCAAATCACAGTGTAATCCGAGGGGCCGATCATCATGTGGGTTTTACTGGGATAAATCTTTATAGATGACTGGAATACAATTGAGACACTTTGGATGGATGGGCATCCGGCAACAATGGCAAGTTTTATTTTGTTACTCAATAAAATGAACTGAACTGAAACTGAAAGGAAAGTGACCAGATGCACTCCCACTGTTCGGTCGGTACTGTTAGAAAAACTCATTAAGTTACAGCGGTTCGATGCCGCTCGGTGCACTCATTGTAAATGCAGACAATTATTGACGGAAATTAGAAGGTAACTTACTGATTTCCCTAAAATTCTGAGTCGCCAGTTTCCCCTTGGAAGAAACAACCAGCTAACTGACTCAATCGCTACTCTCAATTCATTTCATGCCTCGCCGATCTCATGCCGCCCTCTCGAGCCCACCCATGCCACCAAACATCGCTCTCCCGATCTCTCACCTCCTTCTCACTCTGCAGCGCGGCCATCTTCTCGCCGAGCTTCCGCAGCTCGAAGTCGGCCTTGTCACGCTTCTTGGTCTCCTCAGAGAGCTGTTCGTGCAGCTCGCTCACTTGTTTCTTGTACAGGTCCAGCTGCGGACGGTAGCTGCCCGATCGCTTCAGCTCCTGGGGGTAAGAAGTTGCATATGGGTCAGACAGTCAGACATTGTCGTCTGGGAGGTCAGTGGGGTCAATGGGGTCACGTTGGCTGGTCAGATGGTTAGACAAGGCAGCAGGATTGTAAATGAGTCGTATCGATCATTTGTGATAGGAGCAAATTGGACTGTCACTTCTCAATGTCAAAAGGTGCAACTGCAAAGGCCGAATGTCGCCAAAGTTCAGACGCAAAGTGATAAGGTATCCTGTTTCTAATCTACACCGATGTCATATCGCACGCTTGTAAGTTCCACCGAACAAAGGTTTGCCGACTCGAAACCGGTATAACGCAATGGTCGGAACAATGTCCTTTGCTCGCAGACCAGTTGATCCTTATGATTGACTCGACGTAACCCCCAACTTCATCGCAAGTGCGTTTCTTTTCAGAAACACAATCCTACTGAACACACCGAGAAGCCGTGAGTGATCTACTGAGCCAGACGGCGTCTACGTCTATATAGAGTAGCCTGTGACTGAAGTTCGAGAAAAATGGCCTAACATTTGCGCTTTGTGATATTAGAGGCTTCCTATTTTGAGGATCCTCTGCGGTCAAATGTGAGGACGAAGTACCGCGTGCTACAAAAGGCAGCACAACACTTAAGTCGCACAGGTGTTCACCATGTTAACAATCATGCCGACATTTACGATTACGATGATAAACGCTCTAAAGCCGCACGTAGCTCTATAACGCCACAACATTTGTAACGAGCACGCCTAATCTCTCCTTGTAGGAACAATAGCCCTGACATGACACAATTCATCGGACGAGCCAGCTACTGTTTAGCCAGGTGGCAACGTCAATTTTTACCACATGAAAACAAAACTGGAGCAAACAAATACAAAACGGGATCCATCCTTCCGTAACCGTGGGTTTCGTACAGCTCGACAAGCCGGCTAAACGGATGCCAGTGCAGCTATTCTACTGTCATGTAGCTATCACGGATCGCTGGACAGACGTGTGCCACTAATCCTGGACACGTGGCACGACACGGCACGTGCCTCCCGAGGGTTGATACTACCGGCGCCAAACGATGGACTCACGCAATGGGATATTAAAACCTGTCATAGGTTATATAACATTTGAACGCGCTTTGGTGCTACAATCATTCCATTCCAATCATTCCAATATGGCGCTACAATCATTCCAATAACCATATAAAAAACTGTTGCATTTCATTGCAAGAGCAACTAGAATCATCATCGCTAGCATGTATGAAGCAAAACACATAAAACAAAGTTCAATGTTAGCATTCTGTTAGACATGTCTGAATGCCTTCCGAACTATAACTGAGACTTAGGCAGTAACGGTTTTGCTACCGCTAGTGACGTATAATTCCCTGCAACGGGGAGGAGTTTCTTTTTTCGTTAAGAGGATAAATCTTCACTCAACTCCCTGAAATAGCATCTGCAGCTTATAAACTAAAGCTCAACGAAAGTCTTCAAAACAGAAGACTCCGGATAAGACAGCCACATAATCAGAAAATGAATTTAGAATCCAGCGTGTCGCCATGCGCTGGATCCTCATCCATTTCAGTGAGTGACTTCCCCACACAGCCAGTCCCTCCCTCTCTCCTTCGCCGTGGACCCACCTCCTCGAGCTCCATGTTCTGCTGCATGTAGTCGGTGTTTTTGTCCTCCAGCAGCTTGATCTGGCGTCGCAGGTCACCCATCTCCAGTAGTCGCTTCTGGTAGGTGTCCAGCTTGGCCTCGTACTGCGGTACCTTGGCCGTGAGGTCGCGCAGGATCTCCAGCTCATCCTGCGGTCAGACGGGTCAGCGGAGGTCAAAAGAGGTCACTATAGGTCAGTCGGGTCAGCAGGTCGTAGAGGTCAGACAGGTCACCAAAAGTGACCGGGGACTGCTTGGAACAAGAGCTACCCAGGATTTACGAAGGTCAAACTAGGGGCTTCGCAGTTCGCATGCCAGTACATCTACAAAGTCCCAGGTGGTGAAGATAAAATAAAATTAAAAGAACGGTTCCTAAGCTGGATAATGCTATGAGCGGAGTCTGTTCTGCAGCATCAGTATTTCTTATCTCAGAGATCACACGGGGGCCAGACGTCGGCACCCAACCTAGCTCCTGAGTCAACCTCGACGAAAGCTCATACAAGATGATTAATTACCCCGCGTCAGACATTATTAATTGGGTCTTATCTGCTTAATGGCCAACTGTATTACACAAGCTTATGGAGTCGGATTACCCAACACAAGGAGCGGGTATTGTCAATATCATAAACAAAGGGAAAAGTCGCGCGAATGCGTCAAACCGTATCAAATTTCAAAACCGGATACGGTGACTGATTTGATTTAAATAGAGTAACAGCGGATCATTTCAAAAGAGTGCCTTTTCCATTTCTCGTATGACCAGCCTGTACCAAAACGGTAGCAGAAGCGGCGATAATCCCATATACAATCCTTGATCAACAGATAGCTCCACGTTATCGCCTACATAATGGACAGAGCTCGACGTCAAATCAGCCCATCACATCACGCAAAACCAGTGGCGTAACCACGGCCGACCAGTGACGTCACACACTCACCCGGAGCCGTCGCGTCTCGTCGGCGAGTCGCTGCAGCTCCTCGTTCTTGGCCTGCGTCTCACGGAGGTCCTTCTCCATCATCTCACAGCGGACGCGCAGCTCCTCGCGGGTCGCCTCCAGCTGCAAAAGAGGTGGGGAGAGGTCAGGTCAAGGTCAGCGAGAATGGGAGGAATGCCTTGGAGAGCCGTGGTACCATTTATTTGTCGCCTGCTGTTGTGCACCTCATGACGCTACACATTGTTCAAATTTGTTTAGTTCATATTCACCAAATAAGGAAAATTCAGGTCGGCCGCCAACCTTCCATGAGCGGCGACAAAATTGGATGCATTTAAACCGCATAAAAATAAACGTTTGAGTGCGCAATGAGTCATCGTCATTAGGGCGCTGCTTTGCATTAGCGCACCTCCCAATAACGGTTAAGTGGGGCAAGGACAAAGCCATTTGTGAATGTGATCCACCGCTGTCACGCGGTCAGCAAGAGCCGAATGAGAGGTTGTCGCTTGAGAGCGTTCGCAGTAACCACCTATAATAAACCGGCAGGGCAGGAATGCTGACGCCTAGCGTCATCCTGCTCCACTCAGACGTTAGATGAAACGACCATCTATGAGGGCAGATAACCGGGGATTGCCATCCACCTCCCGATACAACTGAGCCACAGGGTCCGACTGCATCTTTCCCCAGCATCATTTGTACGGATATACCTCCTGTCAAACTCGGTCAGTAAATCTTCCCGAGAAGGCATACAAGGCAGGCATGATGCCACTAAGCCGCCGCTTGGCATACGGGCTGGCCTGGATTACAGAGGCGGTCTGGCCAGTTGGGGGATCAGACTCGGTGAATTATTGAAAAAGGACGCGACGCTACTGCGCCGAAACATGCCAGTGAAATATCCGAGCCCTGGTGCACGGCATTGCATACATTTCCGGCGGAAAATAACGCATTCTTCATTGATTCAAACCATATAAGTCAATGTCAATGTAACGTCGAATATCATCCAGCGCTACGCTATGTTCTAAATATACCGACCGCATAAACACTGAGTCAGAGTTGGTCAAACATGCTAGGTTCCGTACTTGGCTAAAGGTAACCCTAATCAGCCCCGTGCTCGGCCGGAGGCTGTCGCCGACATACCTTATAGATCTCCTCATTGTTGGCGGCCAGTTTCTGGATGATCTGCTTGTAGCGCTGTCGCTGCTCGGGACTCTCGCCCTCCCCCTCGGCGTCCGGCAGCTCCTGCTGCAGCTGCAGGCGCTTCTGCAGCTTCTGGTTCTCCTCCTGCAGCACCGACTTCTCATCCTGCAGCAGCGCGATCTGAGGGACGGAGGAGCGCGATCGTCACAGACTGGTGTTTGATTCATCTGTGATTGAATCGATCGGATTGAATCAAACGAAATTTGTTGAATCAAAAAGGTTTGATTCACCGTCAGGATTGCTTGATTCACAAGCCATGATTGAATCAAACGCATTGGGAATCAGGGTTGATTGAATCAAAAAAATTACTGATTCGTGAACTTAAAAAAAATTGAAGTGAACGAACATAGTTCATTATCAACAAATATTAACACTACTGCCATTACATGACAACAAAAAGAACACAACAAATTCAATACTATCCCTGATATTTTGTATATTTTATTTTTTAATTAAATCAAAAAAGAATCATTCAAAAAAAAAATTGGCTGAATCAAACGTGAATCATTCCTTTTATTGTTTTTTGATTCTCTGAATCAAAAGGAATCGATTCACCAAACTTTTTTTGAAGGAATCAAACGGTGATTGAATCAAACAAAAATCAAATGAATCAATGATTGAATCGATCCAAAAAAGGTGAATCAAAAACCAGTCTGGATCGTCAGAGTCTATCGCGGAAGCGGTGGCGAAGGAGAGTTTCAACAGGCAACAGCTGAGAGTAACTAGTTAGCGTTAATTTCGGCTTAGCAATGGCGAGAAAAATATAGTGCCACAACTTAGTCAAACGCTCAAACGCCTCTATAAGGACGGTAATTCTGTGGGGAAAGCTGTGTTCAAATTATGCAGCGGCGCGCTTCAGCCAGCCAGACTGCGGTTGCGACATGCTGTAAGTGGTAGAATTACAATGATTTTAGTGTAATTGTTCAATGCGGCTCCTAACTTAACTGTATTCATTATTCAACGACCCGGAACACAAACAATACCTACGCAGCATAGCAACAAACGGTCATCCCACACAACACATACATAACGCACGCAAAAACTGCAAGGCCGCGTCTGATACGACATTCCTCCTCATCTTCCGGCCTCCCACACAGCCGTTAGCAGAAGTGAGCGCCAAACGAGCTCATCATTCCTAATCGCCGACACAACATGTGATACGAGCAGCCTCACGCCATAACGAAAAGCTGAGGACGTTTTTAGTTCGATTTTTGTCAGTCCTCCAGGAAAGGCAGACTTGTACAGACGTGCACCATTGACAGCCGCCTCCCCTCAGGCCCCCAGTCCATCCGCCCATCCCCCCCCATCCCTCCCCGTGACGGTGGTCGGTGCCGGTTTTTGTCAGTACCGGCCGCCGCAGCCGCAGCTCCGGCGACTGGGGACGACAGCGGCCGCCAGCACCGCTCGAGTGAACAAACAACTCCGGTCGGACAGGGTAGAGTCCGGTCAGACAGACAGGAGTTGTCCGGGGGATGTTCGGCCTGGCAGGGCAAAGCCCAGGAAGACACAGCCCCGGCCTGGCAGGGCAGAGTCCACAGGAGACGATAGCAAACATGATGACGGGACAAACCAGCCAAACCGCCGCCGCTACCAGAAAACGGGCAAACGCGGCACCATCAAACACAGCGAGACTGCGCTCAGTCCGGGATGCGAGTCCAGTTACGCATGCTAAAACCAACTTGCTTCATTCAGCTGCATCTAAATCAGCCCGCTCTATAGAACGCACTAATGCAGCTCTCTTCTCCTCATGAAATGAGCCGCACCCATCTACAACCTTATCAAATGAACCCAGCCAGCCCGCTAAGGCACTAAGCACAGCCAACCAATCATCCTGTGCCCAGCCAAGCCTGTCTCTCGCCCGGCCTCACCACTACACGACACCGGGAGTTTTTGACGGAGCCTGACACTGACGGCGACCTTTTGTGGTGACAGGCGCGCGGGGCGCGGCGTGGCTTCGCGGCCACGACCGAAACGATCGCCTTTCGGGACGCCTTCTAAGCGCAGCGGCGCGGTGTAAAAAGACGTGCCGTTGTGACGTCTCTCAGAAGGTAGTACGCAGTTGGACGCCGGTATGGAGCTGTGACGCAGGTGAAGACAAATGTCGGGAGAGAAGCAAAGGCGGACAATGTAGGGTCGGTAAGGTAGGACGACGATGCTGTGCGAAGAGCCAAGGAGAAAAGGAAAAGAAGCGGTAAGGGAGGACGGGGTGTGAGGATACCACCAGCGTACGGCAGCAAGAGACAAGATGACGCAATGATGTTGGAAGGGCATTTTGAAACACAGTATTAAACTTTCGAAACATCTGTTTGTGGCAGCTTATATTCAACTGGCCACTACCAGCACTAACTAAACCCATCCGGAAGACGAGTTCGAAGCGGAGTGGCCTACGTCACCGGTCAGGCACGGCCATAAGGAAGTCGTATCCCGGTCAGAGTCGATTGCGCCATCAATAAGACGCCCCCGCACCGCAGTCAGGTACTGCGTCCGGACTCCGGACCAGGTCTAGCGCTCCGCTGTTTTACATATATGAATCACCGGTAGGATATGCTCGACTGCCATACATGCAGCCGGTAAGAACAGAGCCGTGCTGCTAAACGGAGAGAAAGATATTAGACTTCGCATAAAATTCACTTCATAGACACTGAAGTATGATTTAATATGAATCCCCAATGCCGTGCATGTATGTTAAACGGCGAATGTCTCACTCAGGCAGAAGGAATGAAAGGTGTATCAGTTAGGTTATGTGCGACGATGAAGGCTGCGGTCTGAATGCTGCTCACGCTAAACGCAAGATAAATAATCACTTCAGTCTTGCGCGGAAGAGGAACACGGCCTTATTCGAGACCCATCCTAAGCAGCAGGGCCGCGTCCAAAGCACAGACCGTTGTCAGTTGGTACCCACCACGTCAAGATGACAATCAGCGCCTCTCCCCAATCGACCAGCGTTCCGCCCAGTCTGGAGCGCCAGTCGTCTCAGCATCCAGTGAAGACGGGCGTCGACCGGTGGAGCAGACCGGGCGTTGACCGGTGGTGCGACCCGCAAACATCACGCACATCACGCAGGTCACACGCGTCATGTCACGTATGAAAAACGATGTCTGAGAGGAGGACATGGACGACAAGCTCTGGTCCGTTACAGTGAGACCCGGCCCGGGGACGGTATAGACCAGTTCTCGGTGTTAGTCGTCGCCAGGTGCGATATTTCGCACTCATACTATCTTCGTCACCAAACACCTCATCGCATCCAATGATGTCACGATTGCTAATGACGTCACGGTCCGCTGATTTTCCCGGCTGCAGAACACGCCCCTCAGGCTGGCGCGTTTCTGTTGTGTAATATGTAACGCACGGTGTCACACTATTACACGCTCGAGTAGAAAGGCCGGCCATTCTCGAACACCGTAACGCACTGTACGCGCGGGTACAGTGACCTGATATTGGCCAACATTACTTGACCGATACAAACAAGTGCTAAATGACAGCGCGATTCCTGAGCCTCATAACACAGAACTACCAAGGCGTAAATCCGCGAATTGGCGGGCAGCTATTACTATGGCGTCACCAAATGGCCATCACGATCTCAATTGCCGGCATCACCACCACCATCAAGCAAGCTGACCAGACTGGCCGCCGTTACAGCATGACCAGCGACACGTGTCTGACAGAGACAGCACGTACAGTGACTGGCAGCGGGCGGGGATAGATAGAAACACGTGCGGCTACTCATGCAGGGGAGACATGCTCACCGCGAGCCTTCACTGGGTCGGTAGTGACCAGCCGCCCAAGGCCGGCGAGCTTTCAGAGCTCACCGGTCGGTCATGAGGCCCGGCTATGAAACTCCAGCGGTACTGGACGGTGAGTTATGAGGAAAAGATGCAGAAAACACCGGCCGGCTGCAGTGAAGAACCAGTCGCTGCAGCCGCGCGGGGTGATTTGGCCCCAATTATGCAGTTAACGGGTCGGCGGGCGGCCGGGCACTGCCTTATTGGTGCTATCGGCGGGTTGGTCCGGAGGGTAAAGGCCGCCCCACACTGGAACTCGCATGCGGGTTGCGAGTTTGCGGGTTTTGAGTTTGCGGGCATAATACTAATTCATAGAGTGATTAGATCGTTCCCTTATGGTAACTTCATGAATGCAGTGAAGCCGGTACATCTTCAGAAAATTACATATAGTCGCAATACCAGCACAACCAACCAAAATTCGACTCCAACGAAAAACCCGCAAACCTCGCAGAACTCGCAGACCTCGCAGCGAGGAAAATCGAAAGTTGACTCAAAATCAACTTAAGGAATGCGATGCAAGTTGGCTCGCATGCTAAAAACATGCAGACTCGCTTGTTACATGGTATTGTGGGTCACTCAGCTTAGATTGTATTATTTGATTTGAAAGAAACCCAAAAAACCCAAAACTCGCAACCCGCATGCGAGGTCCAGTGTGGGGCGGCCTTAAACCCGGCGGGGCTGGTCGGTCCATCGGCCGATCGTCGGCCGGCGACCGCACGCCAAGGACGGGTGGCGCGGGATTCCACAGCCGGCGGCCAGGCGAAACAGTTCGGTACAGGAGGGTGGAAAGGCCTCACACAGCCACCCAAGGAACTCAGTGTGAGAGGTATCAGCGCTTTCATTGCAGAGCAGCATTTCTTTGCAACCAGCAGATCTTCCTTCGTCGTTTTATGATGTCAGCTGTCAATGACCTCAAACATTAGGCCAACGTGTCGACAGTTGTCTGCAGCGGCTAATGGAGCTCCCCCGCCCCCCTACACACACGCAGGTTACGTGTTACCATTCACCGTCGCTCGCCTGTCATCAGTACACGTAACACCTCCATCTGCCGCCCCGCCCAGTAGCGTGTCTCTTTATCACCTCGTTATCATAAGTAGCTGATAATCTGAACAGTCATCCGCGATCAGCCCCGACAGGGCATCCGGCCGCCGGCGGCTCGCAGATAACACATCTCACGTGGACACGCACGCTGGATATAATTAAAACACAACGTCGATGGTGTTTAGCGGCAGAAAACGAAGTAGGATGGGATAACTTTGCTACAGGGAGGGAGGAGTCACCGTCGCCCGCCACTCCCCGCTCTCAATGACGCAGAGTGGGCGTGTGATCCGGTGCCCGGTCGCTCCACCCAGTCGGTGATAAGGTGTGCCGACCGCGAGCCCTCCTCCCCGCCACTCCCCACTGGGCTGACCTCATCCCCGAGCAGTCCCCATTACTCGTCACAGTTGACCTCACTGGAACAGCGGCAGACAGACATTGAGGTGGACTGGACAGAGCCGATAGGGTCGGAAGGGGAACATCGTGGTTTCCGGTAGTTCACTATGGGAAAGGTTGAACCTTTGCTCTTTGGTGGTTAATTGTTGCGTGATCGACGGCTTTAATTCTCATCAGCGCACACTTCCGCAACATAACACATTCCAAATCATTAATGAAGTAAAATATTTGTGTCATGCAATGCCACGGTCGCTTAACTTCAGCAGCCTTCGATCCCCGTTGCCTCAAGTGGTCCCCGATAACCTCATCACCCGTCGCCACGGTACCCAGTGCCGGTAGCGTCCCTGACACCAACCCGTGTCCGCCTCTCACCGCGCAGGGTCACGGAAGTCAGTCGGGCCCCTCTCTGAAATCGTGACCAGCCACCACAGTCCACCTGTCGATTGTTTCAGACATGGAGTGGGACACTCCCTGGACACTCCCAACCTCCGCCCTTGGCACCCCTTCTACCCTATCCTCATCCTCCCCTGGACCATCCCCTAGCAGCGGGAGACGATGTACGCCGACAGTCCCAGGGTCGGGGACGTGACATGTAGGTACGTTGAACTAGAGGTCCTCTTCGCAGGGAAAAGATCTGAGCGAGCGATGAACTCTTGTCTCCGTCTCCCGAGGACAAATCGATACCGTTGTCAGTCTCTCGTTCGCGGTGCTAAATACGGCGCTAAATAGCGACATTCCTGATGTCACATGGGAATGGTGCCGGCTAGAATGACATCTAACACCTGTGTAGCGCGTCGTTCGGCGGCGCCACTTTCTATTCTCCCTGACCCCGTGGCTGAGTGGCCGTCGTCATGACGACGTAGAATACATCAAAGGCACCGCCGCCTGGCGTGGGATAGAACGACTCGCGGGGTTTTCATGCGTGCCACACCGTATATTGCAACGTTGCCTTTCTGAATGAGTGAAATATGCCGGTTGCGAGCCTAATGGAGCATGGCCACCGAATACCGCGCAACAGGTTCGAAATCCGACATAACCGATAAAATAGTTTACGTGAATTGCAGCGAAAAACATAAGCTACCTGCCTCAGGAATGTATTGATTCCGACAGCTTTTCAAAGTTCTAAGAAAAATATGCCGATACAAACGACTAGCATGCCCTTGCATCATGACAGAAGAATGACAGGCAGTTAGTGAGATCATTGTGATGTCAGTCAACCTTCCTTCATGGTAAGCTGAATTGTTTTGAGGCCGCATTCTCGCATCCAACGGCCAACCCTACCTCTCAGTCAGATACGGGAAGCAAACCGGATAATGACTCGACATGCTAAGCCAGTATCGCCGGTCAAAGTACGAAGACCCTTCAATTTGCAATAATCGCTGGCTCATTCTTAGTTGTGCGTTGACCTCATTCTTAGTTGTGCGTTTAGTTGTGCGTTGCGTTGTCTTAGTTGTGCGTTTATCGAAAAGGAAAAACTCCGCCGTAGTCTCATTTCACTCCGCTCGCTGATCGCCACTCATCCTCCAACCCGCATCTATCTAGCACCTGAGCACTACACCCACCGCCCACCACAACACATCATTCCCTCGCCGCCACCTCACCTGGTTATCGAGCTCGTAGCACCTCTGCTGGATCTGGTGCCGCTCGTCTTTGACCATCTCCAGCTCGGAGGCCAGCGCCGGCAGAGGGTCGACGTCGAGCAGCGAGCCGGCGCTGCTGGACAGGGGTCCGCCGCCGGGTCCTCCGCGGGCCATCAGCTCCTGAATGGCGGCCATCAGAGCCGCCTGCACCGTCGGCTCCAGCTCCTGGATCGACTCGATGTACTCTGCGGGCACAGGGAGGGAGAATGTTAATTGAGTGTGGTGATCGGTTAAATTGGGTTTGTGAAACAGATTTGAAGGACAGGCAGGTGAAACAGCATGGCGCGTCAAGTAGTACAACTGAGCAATTAGGCACTCAAAGGGCAAAGATGCGATAAAAATCACAATGGTTTCAGCGAAATGAAGTTGAATGTCAGGTAGAAACTAGTTATGTCGGCGACTTTTCGAGTTGCAGCGTTTTGTGTCTCGGAGACAAACAGACAATGTGAGCGGCCCGTTAGTCATTAGCGTTTCATCCGTTACATTTATGCATTTACTTTCGGAAGAGTAACTTGAAATGAAGGCAAAATGCGTTCACTTTTACCATTGTGGCTGTGAATGAGCTTCATTGTCTTGTCGTATAAGGGAATCAAAGTATTGATTAATTTGACCACTCAGGATTGCGCTTCACGCAACTATTCTTCCGTCAAGTGATAAACATCTCTAAAAAATGAAAGCAATCCTGACTGGAAAGAGTAGGCAGATGCACTTAGCGATTGGGCATTGTTCCGAGACACCACGTGAAGATGCAAACAACTCTCCCGAAATCAGGTGACGATCTCTGACGCAGCAAGATCACGGAAAGCTCGCCGTGGCGCCGCTGAGTTCTAGAGAGACCTATCGCAAATCGGGGCCCGGCTCCGTGACGGCGGTTGGCGCGCAGTGTATCTGAAGAGGTCTGCCCTCGGTGGGCGCTGCACAGGGACGGGCGTCACTGCGTGACATCCTCCTCAGCGGAACAATGGAGCGGCGAAAAGATGGGCGGGTGAGAGTGACAGCGCCGCCCACCAAAGGGCCCACAAGTCTCACCGCCAGTCACCGGAACCGACAGAACCATCGAACTTTTCCTCAGCCGCTGCACAACGCATGCCTCCACGATAACCAGCGCAGGGTGAAATAGCCGCTACTTCCACTGACCACATAGGGACATGGGACTGAAAAATGTCTCAGAAAGTCGCTTTCATCGTCGCATAGTAAGACCCGGACAGACGGCGACCCATCCGTTCCCACGGGAATCAAAGAAATGCAGCTGGGGAGCTCCGTTGGCTTGTCAGTTTACCACACCAACTAACCTCTCCCAAACCGCAACAAAAGTCCACGCACTCTGGCACCACGGAACATCCGTGATCGCGCCAGGGACCTGCTCTCGGAGGGCGTTTCGCGGCGGGCGACTCCTCTGTTCTGGTCCGGCGTGAGAGCGGACCTCTGAGTTAGACGTCACGGTTCGAGTCCGAGGATAACCCGTGGGAACTCTGGGAGCGGCCCGGCACATCCACGAAAACGTCACCCGGAGAGACGTCGTACTGCAGCGAGACATCGTAGTGCACACCGGTGACAACTGTGGGTGGACGACTCGTCTTCGAAAACCCAGAAGCACGACTTTTCTGAGATTCTCCTCAATCGCTAAGGGCGTGGTGGCATGTTTGGATGAGCCTAATGAAGTTAATGAAATGTCAATGACCTAGGAAATCAGCGATCGACGTGTTTATTCCATCCACGAGTAGGCACGTTATCTACAGCTCCGTTAATTGCGCATCGAACAAGGTATGCGGTAATTGCGCTGTTCAATCACTGGATTACCATCGCTGAGATAATTGTGCCATCGGGTCAGGCGCGTCAGCACGCCCGTACTCTGGGTACCGCCAGCGATGCCGTCCGTTCACCTTTCGCGGTACCATACAAGGTAGATCCCCCGCCGGTACCGAACAACATCCTCCAGTGAGGGACTGAATACAAACAACTCGTTACGGTGCCCGCAGCGATACACCGCGTTGAACCCCGTTCGCCGGAGCTCGTTTCACCAAGCGCGGTTGGTCACACCTTCCTTACACAGTACCGGGAGGCGGCAGTCGCCAACCGTCACCACAGAGGAAAGGGCAACAAAACGTTCATGTCGCACCACACAGGATACCGATACACATTGCCATGGTGTTTGAATTAGTCCAAGCCGTGACAAACAATGCGCGAGTGGGTCGGTTTAAGACGACTGGCGCGGAGGTACGGCAGTTGGTGCCAATCGGCCGGCCCACGTCACGGGGTGACTGTGTTCGTGAGCTCACGAAACAGGAAGTCGGTCAGCCCGACATCTGATGACGGTCGGCCGGGCTGGCGCCAGGCCGATCCGAGATTTGGTGGGGTTCTCACGGCGGTCACGACCCGACTCACGTCATCACGGGGCGGCTGGCGACGTCACTTGTCACATCACATCATCGCAAGGTGACGGGCGGTAGACGCCATAAATGGGCCTTCGACTGGCCGCACTGGCGGTTCAACAGACTCATCGACCGGTAGATGCGGTCAAATATTTATGAATAGCACGACCAACACGGATTTATTGACGATACCCATCAATCTGTAAAAAAAAAACTAGACCTAGCACCAGGAAGATCTTCTGGTCGGAATTCCCAAATCAAACAAAGAAGAGAAGCACCCCCCCCCCCAAGAATATCCTCAAAAGGGGCCGAAAACATCCACCACCGCCATTCCCAGTAGCATCAGCCTCTAACTAGCTACCTGGTAGGCCACTCAGTTGCTTGGCTGGGTGCCTAATCTAAGCACAAGGCCAGCATGGGGCCGGCACGGACGCGGTGCTGTCTCCGCGGCCGCCCCCGCCGAGCCGGACCCACTTCCGCCGGCCGCGCGAGGAAACTACGCTCCCAACGAGCGCGGCGGCGGGTATACTCGGCGAGTGACCAGCACTCGGCGACGTCGGGACCGGTGACTTTTGGAGCGTGACCGGCGAGGTGTTTTATGTGGAAGTGGGGAAACGTTATGAAACCGAAGGTGCTAATAGGCGCCGAGAAAACTCAGGATTAGGCTTCATTCATCATTGGGTGGTTTCTACACAGTAGGCTACAATCAAAAGCAATCGATCAGTATTTCATAGTCGGTAAGAGATAATGTTTGACACGTGAAGCTGATAGATGATCAATAGCCAACGCATGCTATGTTTGACTACTGCTTTTTAGCCATTACATACGCTACATATCATTACAGAGAACGTTACACAGAATACACTTCTACGTACGCAGCTTCTGTGCCATAGTAACAGCATATGGAGTAGGCAGCAGCCGCACTCTGATCTGAGAGGATTGACTAACAAATCCAGTCCAACAGGCCCGACCAGCCAACCCCAACCCGTCCTATCGTTGAATACCAACTACCTGCTCTATCCATAGACAATCAGTCCATGGCAGTACCCCCTCGGCGTCTCCTCATTCTCAGGAGGCGCCCATACATCACCCGGGGACAAACAGCCCGCTGGGAGCCGGTCCACAATGGTGCCGGCACGCCGCGCACCTGCCGGTGACGGTGGTGGTTGGACCACCACCGAGGTGTGGGTGCGACTGTGGGCAGCCCACCCGGAGTGGTCAGCTAGTGCCTGGAACAGTCGCGACGCCGCAGCCACCAGCGAGATGGGATGTGGGAAAGGGAGAGAGATTTACCTACAAAACATCCGATTGGTCCAGTTGGATGTTTTTATAGTTGCGATTTTGAGACATCAGCACCGATCTGAAATCACGTCCTCCAAATGTCGGCCCCTAGCTCTAACCTTTCAAAAGACCGCGGCAGCGACCTACCCTCTTTCTCCCCAATGCCTAACTCTATTCTCCCCCATCCACCCCGATCCGGCACCAATGCTTTTTCCTCCCCAGGTTCCTGGTCTTGGATCCAGCTCAACCCGCTCCCTGTCCCAGCTCTGCCCCGGCCCCTGTCCCAGCTCTGCCCCGGCCCCGGCCTGCCATCCGCGGTCACCGGTCGCCTGCGGCCAACCAACCGGTTTACATGCATCCCACTCGGTCCGCCGTCCGGTCCATGCAGCAGCGCACGTTCAGAGCCTGACCTTGGCGGCTCGGCGGGCACAGCACAGTGCTGGGCTGGGGACTCGAAACTCTGCTGACTGGAAGCTGTGCAGTGTGCACTGCAGACTCGAAGTCGCGCTGACGTGAGGGTCAGCAGACTCGAAGGTAAAATGGAAATGTCAAACGATCTACGGCCTGTTTTGACGTCAGGTCAATACGATTTGAAGCAATTCGTGCATTTCTTCGGATTACCCTTCGAGCATTCCTTTCAGACTTGGTGGTGAATCGTCCGTCGATCTCATGAAGGTTCAGCATCGGTATCAGATCAGCGGTTCACCCACCAGTCATCCCACCTTGCTGACCTCGCCTATACATACGAACCCTCTGCCTTGGGTCTACAGTTCACCCGTTCCGGTCAGAGTCCGTTCAGGAGCCGGTTACCGCACTTCAGACGAGCCGCCTGTCAATGTTATCGACTGGCAGGAGGCCGCGGCGGAGGGGTGGCAAACACGCGTGACTCGGCCCCAAACACACCTGACCAACCGATCAGCGCTGCACGGCGGCGTACGCGACGGTTGTCGTGTTCGCTGGTGGAGTTGGAGTCAGCAGTTCGGGGCAGCTCTCAGTGGCATAGCGACGGTACAATGGCAGTGAAGAAGGCGAGCCAGAACAATGCACCAGCAGCACACTAGCAAAGCGACAGCAAAGCGGCAGTTCGGATAGTAATTAATGGTCGTAAGCCAGTCAGCAGCGAGCCGACGCTGCACCGACAGGATGCCGTCAGCGCCGCAGCCTATCAACATATCGTCACGCGTACTGTCGCCCACGCTATGCCGAGTACGCGGTCGTAAGCCGTCGTGACAGCGGACGAGTACGCGCGTGTAGAACCTGTCGGTCGGAGGCGCCTCGCAGAGACACGCGGCGCGCGAGTGGCGGAGCGCGTCAGTGAAAACACGCGTGGGCTCAGGTGCCGGTCCATGGGACAAAAACCGACCCGATCAGTTCCGACACGGCGCCGGAACAAGCACCAACTGGAGCAGCATCAGATCAGCAGACGGGTCAGCGGTCAAGCGCGCACAGACATTAATCTTAACGTGGTACATAATGACCCGCACTTGCACACGACGGACTTTTTGGACCACAGTCGATGTGCTCCTCAATGC